GAAGAAATATTTCTTTCTTGATATTTTTAACTTTGGACGAGATGTAAAACTTTATATCGTCTTCGGAAGTATCCCTCGAAAATCTAGAGACAAACATAGACTTCTTTGTGGGAACCACAACCAGTCTCCTAGTATTAGACTCGATAACCGGCGGAAGGGGTTGAGTAACTGAGTTACTCATTGAGGGTAGAGTAAGCGTTGGAGGATTAGATGACGATGCCACAACTTAAGTTTAGACACACGAATATCCTTAATGGATTGTACGATATCTAAGCATTTCAAAGATTTGAACACATTTTCATAATGCTTAAATTTTACGGTCAGTGCCGACAACTCTCTCCCTACCTCTGAAACACCATTTCTGGTTTGTCTAAACAACTTAAAGAGATCAACTTCGGTTGACCTGCACTTTAAGCAAGACCAGCGAAGACCTTTGCCATGATTAATAGCGTCCGGAATTCTTCCTTTCAAACCAGCACACATTAGATGGCAAATACCATCACAGACCCAGCACAATAAAAAACGTTCAGTTTCGCTTTTAACTTGGCAATTATCAAGATCGCACTTCATAGTGAAAAATTAATAGCACTTATGGTAATAAAAAGGCAAACAAAATACTTAAAGAGTTTAGGAGGTTAGTTAAAATCAGCTGATGTACTTAGTCTTAAATGAAGCGAACAGTTTGAGAATCACTGTAATATGGCACTCAATAAACACAAAGCAAACAGCTGTGACAGGAATTACTAAAACAAGTAAACAAAAAGAGCAAAAGAAAGGCGCAAGAACAAACACAATTGCAGTTACACAAGAATTACGATTTCACAACAAAAATGATAGCAACTGATGACTCGGCAAGATTACTTGTATATAGTTGGAATTAATTAAATTGCTTCAAAACAATAGGGGTATTCTCCAAATCTTGCAAAGCCCTTGCACGTAGCACGGATTGAATGGATTGCAAATTACTTGCAAACACACAACAACAAAATATATGGGAAATACCATTTCCTATCGCTGAAAAATATGCGTAGCAAAATAAATGCGACCCTGTGCTAGTTGTTTTGTTGTTGGAATTGCTACATATTTCTCATTCCTCCTCTCATTCCATCTCGCTCACTTCATTTTTTTTTTGCTGTATCTTGTTATTGTATTTGATACAGAATTCCGCTGCTTGCTACCTATGCATGCTACCACTTTGCAATGGGGTGCTCTCGTACTCTTCCAAATTTGGAATAGTATTTTTGCATTTCGTGCAATCCTTCCATCGTGCAAGACTTCGAGAATACCCCTAATATAAAACAAAATAATAATATATTTTACTTAGCTTTATTTGCACAAAATGCTCACTGGCACTATATCTCTACCATATCGATACTTTTGGCATTCGATACCGATATTTTCTACTCGATAGTTTTAAAACGATATTTTTTGGAATCGAGTATCAGAACCCTAGTATCGTATCGAATGTCAAAAACACACATTCCAGCACTGAGGGAAAAAATTTTAGAATTAAAAAAAACGTGCTAAATTGAAAAAATACGCATATGAAAGAGCACCAACCCAACTCGTTTTAAATTTGAGTATATACGTTATTAAATATGTGGTTGTGAAGTGCACAGATGCTTTCTCGTAATTAAGAAGAAAAAAAATTAATTTTATGTTCCGTCTGATGGGAATTAAACCCGGACCCTCTTGGCCGCAATTAATTGTATCAAGCTTCTTTGCACACTCAGCTACAGCCATACATGTAAAGGTGTTTTCAAATGTTGAGTTTGAATCAACATCACAGCGCGCGATTAGTGCATTATGTCATACCATGTATGTGTGTATGTGTTGTCACCGCTGTGCATGCTTTGTATACATATACCTTCTTAATTACATATGAAAAAGCATCCGAGACGTGCAAAACGCCATCCGTGTAGTGAAAAATGCTTTTTTGCTTTGATGCTAAAGACGTCTCAAAATGTAGACGTCTACATTTTCAGACACAATTTGGAACGAACTGTGAACACCCCAATTAATTACCGTTTAAAAATGTTCGTATTTAAATCAAGTGAAAAGTCTTAACCAAATGGATTTTCCATTATACATACACTACGTACATATAATGGAAATATTCAATTAAAATACTCCCGTACTAAAATGAAGTAGTCTAGCAGTCGTCGCAAAATCGTCTCAAAACTTTGCTGGTGTTGCCAGACATTTCCTCTTTGCGTGCATTTTTTATATATCGCCTTTCGATTTTGTTTCGGAAAAATTGTAATTATTTAACTTAATTACCAATTCCTAATATTTGTTATTTCTTTTCCTTGATTTGTTTCTTTTCATCAGAAATTGCGCTCAAATTAAATACAAATACAAAAAACGTGCCCAATAAATAAAAAAAATGTGATTAGTATTGACATAATGCAACCCTGCTGCGAGGTTACAAAATGTAGACGCGTAAAAAATATACCTTTGAGTGTGACAAAATGTAGACGGCGTCGTTTTCCAATTTTGAATGGGAAACAACAACACCACAGATTTTACGGTTAGAAAACGTCTTAAAATGTATACGTCTACATTTTCAGACACTATTTGGAACGAACTGTGAACACCACAAATGTTAAAGTCAACACCTCAATCTCTACGTGTTGTAATAATAATAAAGTCCGGCGCTCACTCAATATGTTAGTGTTTGGCCGAACTTCTCCTCCGATTTGTCGCGTGGGCCTTAATGTTGTGGCACAAAGGGGGTGCCTACAGTTTTATGTCGACTCTGAACGGCGATTGTATTTTATGGGAAGCTGTTTTTCATTTTCAAGGGTTGCGCACTTCTAACCACTACACATTTTTTGGATTTTGGTATCAATATTTGGAATATCGAGTCTTTTTATTCCGATTTTAATGGGTACCCGATATTTTTAAAGCGATACTTTAAATGAGTACCATATCGATACTTTCGGTTCGATATCGTGTCCCTACTCTCAACTTAACTAAATATTAGCACAAAATCTTTAAAAAAGAAAGTCAAAGCAGAGCACAGTATAAATATGTACGTCTTCACAGGTTGAGGTTTGCGTGATCAATTTGGGATTTGAACTCATTCTAGGAGCACTTATGGTCAATAATGTACGGTTCTGTTTGTGTTTGTATTATATTATTTTCACTACTTTTATTGATTTTTTCCACTTTGTGACACTATGAAATTTTCCACATCCTCACAGTAGAGTTGCCAACTTTTATATCTTGTATGTTGCTCAATGGACGAAAACCGATTCATGGGGTTGCCGATCTGAACGGGGTTAGGATGCCGAAATAATAGCACTGGGTCGGGAAAAACCTGAGTCAATCCGATGCGTAGAATCGGCTATCGTGGGAATGCATACTATAACTTTGTATTAAGCTTAAGACCCAATTTCAGGTGGCCTATTTAAGTAGAGATTGTTGATTTACCACACATAGGAACTTCTACTGCACTTTTTATACCTTTCATGAGCATGAAATGGTATTATAACTTTGGTCCGATGTTTGTAAGTACCAGAACAAAAAGAGATAGACCCATGAAAATGTATACTTATATGATCAGAACGTCGAGCTGAGTTGATTTAGCCATGTCCGTCTGTCCGTCTGTCCGTCTGTCTGTCTGTTTGTATGCAATCTAGTCTCTCAGTTTTCGAGATATCCGGATCAAATTTGGTAGGTGGGTGTATTTTTATAATGTATTAATCATTTGTCGGAACCGGAAGAATCGGACCACTATAACATATATCTCCCATACAACTGATTGTTCAGATATGAGGTTTTTCATTATAACTTCTCCATTTATGCAGCTACGAACATGAAATTTTGCAATACTTGCACCCATTATCAACAGAATACTTACAGTGAAAATTACAAAGATCGGGTCACTATAACCTATAGCTCCCATACAACTGATTGTTCAGATATAAAATTTTGCGTTATAACTCCTCCATTTATATAGCTAGGAACATGAAATTCCGCACTGTTTTCAATAATTATCAACAGAAAACTTACAGTGAAAATTAAAAAGATCGGGTAACTATAACCTATAGCTCCCATACAACTGATTGTTCAGATATGAGATTTTTCGTTATAATTCATCCATTTCTGTAGCTAGGACCATGAAATTTCGCGCTGTTTTCACTCATTATTAACAGAAGACTTACAGCGAAAATAACAAAGATCGGGTCACTATAACCTGCAGCCCCCATACAACTGATTGTTCAGATATGAGGTCTTTTATCATAACTCCTCCATTTATGCAGCTAGGAACATGAACTTTCGCACAATTTTCACTCATTATTAACAGAATACTTACAGCGGAAATAACAAGGATCGGATGACTACAACATATATCTTCCATACATCTGATTGTTCAGATATGGGATTTTACTGTAAAACTCCTTTATTTGAACAGCTAAAACCGATAAATTTCGTAAGATATTTTATAAATAATAATACAAAGTCTACTGAGAAGCACTGATTGTTAAGATACCAGTTTTTGCCATATATCTCCTTTATGTACGAAACTAAACCCAATAAATTGTGTTACCGGTTTACATACCGATCACATAGCGGTGAAAATCACTTAGTTTGGTGTCATATAAAGTATATCTTCCATACCTCTGATTGTTTAGATGCGATTTTTTATATAAGTATGTAACTCCTCTATCGATGTATGCAGATGTATTCAAAAGCAGTAATCTGTCAAAGTAAAATTTGCAGATGTTCATGAAAGGTATGAAGCCTTCGGCATAGCCGAAGGCAGCGCTGCTCTTACTTGTTTAATTTTCAATTTGCATAGGTAGATTGGAACGCACTAGGACTGGGACTATCCGCCGTATATTCGGATATCCGGTTAAGCTACGTTCATTTTGTTATCCGGATAATCTAAAAGGATAGAACCCCAGCACTAGTAGGCACTTTAAGTACTTTTACATTTGTATTATAATGCTTGCAACAGACGAAATGGGAATAAGATATTATTTCTTATTTAGTTTCAGAAATGATCGCTAGTCCATTCGAAACTCGCTCGGACAGTTTCTATTTTGTTGATAACCGTCTTATCATGCACAACAAAGCAGACTACGCTTACGATGGTGGTATGTTTATTTAAATGGACGTATTCGAGGATATTGGAATCAATTCTCACCAAAAGCCATACAAGCCTTATTACTAATATTGTTCTACAATTAACTGTTAATTTATGTGTAAGAATCAAAAGCTAATAAAAATATTTGAGATTGTATGCATGCATGGAGTTTTATTGCGATGTACCTCCGTGGTCGATACATAGTAAATATGTATGTAAGTAGAATGCACGCAAGCCCAATGTGACCAACCGTACTTCTTTCGGAAGTACAGTACTTATTTTTGAACCGTTATACTTCGTACTTCGCAGTACAGTCAAATGCGAATGTCGACTGGCAATAGATAAACGACTATTAAGCGATTATCGATTATCGATGATATTTTGAGTGTCGCTTAAACTATGTTCACATTACCAACATAAAATACTTAGTTTCGTTTAAAATACCTCACTAAATTAAGTGCGTTCATACACGCGTTTCTTTATTTGTCTTGGCAGCTTTGTAGCAACCCTGTGTTATTGTTTATTTAACGAAAAGAGATCGCGAATGTGAGTAATTGCGTATATTTTTATATTCTGAGTTGTTTGTGGTAATTTTTTAGATTTTAGATGAGTGATCAAAAGAGAAAGCTTCTGGAAATATTTTACAAACTACCACGCGCGATTATTAAAAACAAAAACGTCCGAACACAATGACATATCAGTTGTGGGACAAAACTTTTTTCGATTATTATCGATAAAATTAGAGCCGACATTGATTTGTTCGTGATTTGGTTCTTGGTTTAAGATAAACTACGTACTTTCATCTTAATTTACTGAGAGACTTTACAAGGCGAAATTACTTAGTTTGTATTTAATTTATGCGTAAATTAAGATTGACCTCTAAATTACGCCAATGGGAACATAGTTTTAGTCGCTCTATTAGCGACTGTGAATACTTTTTAATCTCTCATCCCTCTATTGCGGTTTTTAGTCGTTGTAGTTTGCGTTTATAAAATTTACATAAGAAAGTGGTACTATAATGCAGACATGGGCACTTTTGCCCGTATGGGCTTTTTGGCCCGTATGGGCAAGCGAGCCCATTTCACGGGATAGATCAGGGGAAAATCATGGGCAAACGGGAAGGGGGCAACAAATCTTACTAATACACGTATAGCAATGAGAGCCACTGCACACGCATTCTGGAGTAAAAAGGCTCACTCTCCCAAACGCACGCCACATACACTCCTCGTCATTTGAATAGCTCAACTTTTTAATCTTTAGTATTTACACTTTTAATTTTGTTTATTTAATATTCATTACATCCGATTTTAAAACTTTATACCGAGTTAAAAAAATGTCAACAAAGGGGTACAATAAAGTGCAAGTTTCAAGTGTCTGCGGTGCTTTTTGAAAATTTTTTTGGTGATAGTGCTGCGCATTTTCTCTCATACAAAGTATGCTCGACAAAACTTTTATATGGAATAAAATGCGCAGCACTGTCAATAAAAAATAAATGAATTTGAAAAATCGGGGCTGTTTTAGAGTCACTTCAAACTTGCACTTAATTACATTATTGCATATCAGAAATTTTTCTAAAAATATTATTATTCACTGCAGGTCATCCTCTCCTATGTTGACCTTTTTTTAAGAACTGTTTCCAGCTCTCGAGAAAAACGAAAAAATCATATAAAATGCTGCCCAAGAAATGGAAAATAAACTTTCTTTTAAGCTTTAGTTTTTAAAAAATTTTAAAATTGCATTTACCCGTAGAATATGCTATATCGTCACTAGACACGAATAATGACGCGAGCTCAAAAGTTGACGGCGAAAAAAGACGCATAAAAAAATTTCAGCGTCAAATATTCTTAACATACTTCGCCAAAGTTTTTTATAAGCATCTTTTTTCGCAAAATTTTTTTAAACGCTTTTTTTCACCGCCAAAACACCAGCGCGCCTTTATCCGTATGTAGTGACGATATTTTTACAAAAGTTTATATTAAATAAACAAACGAAAAACTGTAAATACTAAGAATTGAAAGGGTGTGCAATTCAAATGACGAGGAGTGTATATGAGCAGATGTGATCACTACCACAAGTAAACCGCGAGCTGAAAGCGTGATTGTGTTAGTGTGCCAATTACGTTTGATTGAATTTGCGTTCGCTTTGTTACGCTCTCGCATGTATTTGCATGTGATGCTTACGCTCTTTAAGCAGGCGCTCACTCTTTGTCCATGCTTGTACAAGAATGATAGAATACAAGATTGCGCCAATCGAGCTGAGAGCAACTGGCCATGACCAGGGATGCTGTTTGGATAGATCCAATTGGATACATTTTTAGACGAATTTTTGCGGGATACTTATTTTTTCCTATAAGTATAAAAGTGGATACTTTTTTAAATCGGCCAAAATTTTATATTTTCTATAAAGTTTTTTTCGTTCAAAAATAGATTTTCATTAATGACGTTTTCTAAATGTTATAAAAATCGCTACTGAAATTGGAGCGTTTTATTTTTTGTGAATGAAGCAATGAACATATGAAGAGATCTCACCAAAGCAGTGTAATAAGCAGGAAACGGATTTTTAGGACCTAAAAACCTATAAAAAAGGCAAAATAAAATAACGAAATAGGCTGGAAAAGGCAAAATAAAATAGCGAAAAAGGCAGGAAAAGGCACTAGGTATTGCAAAAAAGGCAATAAAAAAAGACAGAAAATTCGAAGAACAATCAAAAAATACATTTATTTTAGAAATGTTTATATTACAAGCAAAAATAGAAAAACTATGAACTAGTTTCATTATATGAAAAATTTGTACTTCGAATCTTTGACTATTTTATCCTTTCGAGTTTCTAACTCATAAAACTTTAATCTGTGTAGTTGTAGTAACATTGAACCACAAGATGCATTTTGAAGTTGTCTGGCAGCATTTTCATTCGATTTTCGCGAAGAAAAGCCTTGAATGTACTAAATGTGCGCTCGACGTCAGTTGATACAAGTGGAGCCCAATTTAAATATGGAACGTTTGAAACGTTCATATTATCAGGAATAAGGGCGTTTTCCTCGCCCTTTACAATTTTATCCACACCCCTTATTGTCTCTAAGCTTACGTTAGCTGAGAAAACGGATTTAAATTTTTGCAACACCAATTTGGCAAGAGGTCCCTGCGCTTCTATAAGCCGCATGGGCATGTGTATATTTTTTAATCTTAAAAAAAACAAATTTAAATGCTATAATCACTTTTTTTAAGTTAGAAAAGGCAAAAAAAGGCAAATATCTTAAAAAAGGCAAAAAATAGGCACATATCTTAAAAAAGGCAAAAAAGGGCAACATCAAATGTGTATATATGGAATCAGGGAAAGCTAAATAGTGGACATTCTTAATCGAATATACTTTATCTCTTTAGCAGAAAAAAAGGCAATTTCCATAAAATCTGTTCCCTGGTAATAAGAGCTTTAACAGACCGCAGCGTTGATCCGGATCAACTCGGGAATTAACTGCAGTTAATCCGGATTAAGTCCCAGTTAATCCCGATCAACTCGGGAATTAACTGCAGTTGATCCGGATTAAGTCCCAAATAATCCCGATCAACGCTGCCGTCTGTTTAAGCTTTTAGGCGCAATTGTTTAGTTAGCTAAAAAAAATGCTTTAAGCAAGATCTTAATATAATAATAATAATAATAGATGGCGCTTACACATACGTTAGTGTTTGGCCGAGCTTCTCCTCCGATTTGAGGCGTGCGCCTTGATGTTGTCACACAATGATCTTAATATATATATATAAATTAAATATATCTCTCATATCACATATCTTCATTTGTTAATATAAAAAGAAAGAAGATCTCAATGTAGTTTAAAATACACTGTTTAAAAAACTAAATTTGATTTATTTAAGGAAATTTTTATGAATTTTACTGAAAAGACTTTAAATACACTCTAAATTTTTTTTGTTTATTTGCGCATATTAAGAAAGGTAACCATTTTCCTCTTTTAATGTGTGCAAATTTGCACACCGTGTAATAAAATTAAACACTGCCTGTTTACTTTAACAACCACATTTTTCGCAGAGCGCACAATAATACATAAAATGTTTAAAATAGAGTAAATGTAAGCCCCAAATGTTTATTATTTGTAGGAAATGTATTTTTAGTTTCAAAATTTTTGCAACATTAAACATTTCATGTGTATATTTATGTATATATTTTAAAGATTTCAAGTTCAAAATCGAATCCTGAACATCTTATACGCATGTATATTTATACAGATTCTTGTTGATGTGTTGTACAGGTACAAATGTAACATATTAATTACTATTTTTTATACTTACTTTGCAAAATACTTATGTATAAAAGAAAAAATTTATAAACTGAAATTACAAATGTTTGATTTTATGAAATATAAAAATATATATACACGTATTCCAAGTCCTTAGGATGGGTTAAATTATGTCTTTTTCTTCAAAATCTTTGGTTTTCTTACAAATTATGAGATGGATACGTAAAAAAAGAAAATTGGATACATTTGGATAATTTTTTGGCTTGGTCGGTGATACATTTTCTTGGGACGGCGCGGCGACACTGGCGTCAAAATATACCCGAATGAGAGAGCAAAGACGAATTCAATAAGAAAAAGAAGAAGAATCGAACAGCTGGGGTGATATTGAAAGGTTTGTTTACAAAGTGCATAATAAATCGCGGATTTACGGAATTATTTAATTTTTAATGGTAAATTGGTTATTTAAAAGTAAAGACTGTGTACTTCTTAAATGCAATGCAAATCGCTGAAAGTGTTAAAACACTGCAATCATTATGATTTGCATTTTTTCAGTAATTGAACAAATACCAGCGGGCCGCCAGCGGGTCAGTTGCTGGTAACAATTTGCAGAACGATTCCACGGTGATCGTTGCATCGTCGTCAATTAGTGAAATCAGTAACCAAGCTTTTAAAATAAAGGAAAACCTCCTACTCCGCTATACATATAATTACTTTCATTATTTAGCTACTTTACCGGCAGCCGCAACAAACGCTGGCCCAAGCCTGCAAATTGTTGCCAGCAACTGACCCGCTGGCTGCGCACTGGCACTTGTTCAACTACTCAAAAATGCACTTTGTAAACAAACCTTTTGGGTGTTGGCCACATCAAGCGGCTCATCTGGATGAAATGAAAAGGCTGTTAGATGTA